ACCCCACTCGTCTCTTACCTACGTTCTTACTACTCCTCTCCTCCAGCTCTTCTACTTTTTCTTGTCCTTCCCCCTTCCTTTCTTCCTCCCCCCCTCCCTCTCTCTCTCTATCTAGCTATCTATCTCCCTTTTATATCACCACTCTTCTTTGGTCCCTCTTCCTCACACCCACACTGACCGAAAGCAGCTCATATCGGGGATCGGTTCACTCTCTAGTTCCACGCTTCTTTCGGTCAGTTTTCTGTCGTGAGTTATACGCGTTCTTTCGTGAGGACCGGCTTTTGTGTCGTACTTTAGGCCCTATAGCTTCGAGAAACAGAACCGGCGTTGTGTTGAAATAAGAACGATTCTTCTCTGCATTCTGGATATCCATAAAACGGAAGAACCGAGATATTCACTATGCATCATCGACTTTTAAGGTTCGTTATGAATTTAAAATAAAACACATTTCTCTTATTTTTGTTGAACTAATTGCATAAATTATCTTGATTAAGCATCATCAATGTTTTTTCTATCTCTTATTAATTTGGAAGTAAGATATCTCTCTGTTTATAAAAAAGAAGCATATTATATATTTATTTTTTTACTTTAGATCTGTATCAATTTGATCTTAGTTTTCATATTGTGTTCAAGAAAGTATTTTTCTTTTGTAATAATTTTTCTTTTCTCTATCTTAAATTAATGAAATCTTAAAACTTTTAATATTTTATAATTGATATTTTTAATAAATTACTTTTATTAATGTCATTGTAAATGTAAAACTTTGTCACTTTTAATATGTTCTATAAAATTTACAATTATTATAGGATTAATTCAATATAATACAATTGTTATTCCACATTTTAATTGCATTGATATTTTATATCGTTTTAATATCAATTAATGTAATCATAAATATATATATTGTTATAAAAAATGACATCGCTCGTTACTATTAAAAGAAACATAGCAAAGCGCACCATATATATTATATATTTGCCGTTTCTACTTCACGGCATCGATCGATCTCTTGTAAATTGTTTCTAATCGCTGTCGACTCACTTTTCATTAAGACGTTCACGATTAATCGAATGAACGAATGAATAGAATTCAAGAAGCTGTAAAACTTTGATTTTTCCTTGTCCATGAATTTGCCTATAACGAGATTATTATTATAAACACAAATATATGCATTACTAAATGACTCGCATTAAAATTCAAAAAATTATTTAAATAAATTAACTTAGCGTTTATTATTACTGTAAATAAAAATAATTTGATTTGTAAAGTACATTTTGTAAAATATCGAAAAGCACATCATATCTTGATTACATTATTCAAAAATGTTATTCATTTGATTTTATTCTTTGTTTACATACATGATTTACATGTACGGTTAAGAGTATAATAAAATAATAAAAAAAATAATAGTACCATTTCAATTACATATAATTTCAGAAAAATTAAGAATAATATTTAATTAAGATGATATTTCTATCTTTCGCATAAAGAAAGAGAAATTATATTATGGTCAGTTTGTTAACTTAATATAAAACTAAATTTAATATAAAACTAGTTAATATAAAACACTTAATATAAGTAATTAATATACTAGTTAATATAAACACTTAATATGAAACTAGTATTCATGATTATTGATATAATTTGCGATATTGTAATCACTGATATTTCCACATACTTTCTTGCGTTTCTTATTACAGATGTACTATGTTAAATTTTACTTACGTAGGTTTACTTCATCTAATTCTATGTTCTAGGAATGTATCTGCACATTCGAGTGGAACAAATAATTTCTTCTTATTAAATCATATCATTAAAAAGAGAAATAAAAATGATGATTGCTATCCTTACATTGATTTCCATTGATTTCCATTGATATGAAATTAATATTTTATAGTTTATTTCTATACATATTTGCATTTTATAAGATTTATAGTTTAACGTTTATATGTATATTTTTTATAAATTTTTCTTTATTATAGTCGAGATTGTTACTATCACCACAAGATTGCTAAGCATGAAAGTAATATACGATTGTGAGCATTAAAGAATTTAATAACGATACTAACTGTATATTCAACTTGTAAACATTGTTTGGAGAGAATAAAACTATAATATATCATGCAAATTGATTAGCCAAATATTGAATAAAATTGCATGCAATGGGACAGGGGGAAGCAGAAGCGAAATTTGTGGCGCTTGAATATTGGAAGGCCGCAGGCCCGTGGTCCATGACCGGTCGACATTCGACACACACGCAGCCTCCTCCCGGTTCTGAGAGAATCGGAGTCACGTTCAGTCGGTGGCCGACCTCCGTCCGTGGAGGTGGTGCGCGTTATCGCTCCTTCGGCTTCTTTCTCAAGTGTGTTGAAAGAAATTTTCCGGCTTCTGCATACCTTCCTAAGGCTCATTCTCATCGGGCATGACGAACACTAGGAGCACGTGGTTAGTCGAAAAATTCTTTTAGCATATCTGTTAGTAACCATTACGTCAAAAAGATGTTAACTCTACTCCGTTATACTCCGCGATGTTTCGCAGTGTATTCTTCAATCGTCGTGAATAAAGAACATAGGATGTTTGTCTTACCGTTGTCTGTTTTCTTAGATTCAATTCTTAATCTCTTCCTTAGGCTGGGAATCAATTTTCGTTTTCCAACCGTCTTAATTAGCTCGTTTTTGCGAAGCGTACGAAAGCGTACCCCGTTTAAAGAGGGAGTTTTAATTAAAGATTGAGATGGTTTTTATGCATGATTTGTTTACTTTCTATCATGCCGCTTCTATTCAAAGATCGATGGTATAACGCAAAACTAATAATTACCTAATATACCTATACAAAATCTTATTTGTTCTATAATGAAAAATTCATCGATATATTTTACATTTTTCTTTTGGCTTCTTTTCTACCTCTTTTATTTTTCATGAGAAGATTGTATTAGGATATAATACTAATAATAAGAATGCATCTAGATTTGAAATATCACCGAGTAAATAAAATTTGTTATTGTATAAATGTTTATTAAGTTATTTTATTAGTTAATGACAAACAATTTTTAAGTTTCAATAATTTGTACCTTTACATCCACGTACGTAAATTCGTAGAATGCAAATTTATTTACGAAATTTCATCATAATCCGAATTATATTTTTCCAAATCATTTCCAATCGTTAGATGTGTGAAAATTTCATAGAAGTCTTCAACTCCATTCGCCTTGCAAACATTTTATACATTTCATACATATCTTTCGACATGCACAATCCGCACATGTTGAGAAAGAAAAGATTATCTTTTGAGTCCTTTGAAACACGAAGGACAAACTGATTATCATGTGCGTTTTCTTCTAACTGGCTTATTTATCCAAATAATTGAAGCTTTTTTAGATTTAATATATAACTTTTATTTTTATTTTATTTTCTAGATAATAAATAACAATCACGCTATTATTTAATAAGAATTTCTTTTATGTAATCGCATAATGCCGTTGCATAGTTATCATAAATTTTTCTATTTATGCATTTATGTATATGATACGTACTCGTTTCCAATACAATATATTTCTCATGTCTC